GTAATAAATAACATTTTATTTTATACCGTATATCATAAATTTAACAAGTATATTAATTAATAGTTATAGCAAACCAATTAATATTTGTGATTTCTTTCAAATTTTGCTAACGTCATTTTACATTTTGTTATATTTATATAATCTATTGAGATATTTATTAAATAACATTGTAGCTTTAAACAGTAATACACAGTTAAAGCTGATATGGGAGTATATACACAAATATAAGATATGTATATGTTAGACAATAAAGATGTATTTTGAAAATAGTTCTATAAAATAAGATATTGAAATGCGAAAAAAAGAGATCGTGTAGGAAAGCGGATTAGATGATTGAGAGGAAGATCAATCAAAGATGAAAGGTGGAACAGTTAACAATGAAAAGGGACGAATTGAGCGAAGAGCGCTAGCATGTGTATGAAGGGCGTGGCGGGGGTATGGAAGGGTAGAGGACCATCGAACGATGGAGGGGCAGGCGAATAAGATTTGGATGGTGGGGAGAATCGAAGGGCGAGGAGAAAGTCTGACCCGTTCGCAGTCTCGTTGATTCAGGCATGGTGACTGTGCATCGTGACGTGACAATGGCGGTAGTCGTAATTGTGGAATGCTGCGTTATTGTGATCAGCTGATCAATCAAGTTCGTTAGAAAGAGGAAAACCAAGAAAGAACACACGATAAATAATAAAAGTAAGGAGAATTGTATAATAGAGCTTGTCCGAGTTAGTTGCAAAGGAAAAATCAAGAAAGGAGAGTTCCATTTCGGTAGCTATGTCATTGCGTTTGTGATTCGCTCTGCTTTTAGGGTACCGGTGTTATCTTTGTTGTGTGTGAATAGTGATAGTTTTGTATTTTTTGTGCGTGTATTATGTGCACGTATGCGTGGAATTCGCACGAGCAATAGATGAATGTGTCCTAGCCATGCCTGCTATGCGGAAGTACAGAAGGGATACCAGTGAAGTGAACTGCTGTCTCAAATATGTTATCTTTGGATTTAACGTCATGTTTTGGGTGAGTATTACATGCTTTCTATACATTCTAAATCTTTATTAAATGAACGCTTTCGTATTTCGTCAAGTTTATTACATTTCATCGATGCAGTGATAACTTTCACACGTTTGCAATTGAAATTTATCTGTCAAAAGAGACAACACGGAAGAATATACATACTTTTTCCATAATACATACATATGTCTTGTTTCAAACAGAGAATCGAGATAAAAGCATGACGATATAATGTTTTGTTGCTTAGTTAGATTCACCAGCTTTATTTCATAACAATTACTAACAATTTCATAACGAAAGCTATTTATTATGTCTCGAGGGTTGTATCTCCAGTTTCGTTAGAGATAGAAAAACGTTTTAGAGGAAAAACTTGAATGGTATTGAAAAGTTTACATTTTTACGACTTCACTGTTTCCATAAGTGCAACGATACAGCTAAATATGTACGTGCACTCTTTTTTTTTTTTAATGGAATGGTACATTTTTTTTATGTAAATCGATTTTTCAGAACATTTTATGTGAAAAGGTATTAGGGTACGATATTATAAAAATCAATATTTCGTGAGATATTTCAAGTTTTTATAAGAAGTACCTATGCTTTATTTAAAGTATTCGAATGTTCCACTGTCAAACATATGTACATCTTCTCAAAAATTTGAAATATCTCGTGACGTATTCACTTTTCGATTACTTTACCATAAAACTTTGTTACGTAGAATGATCTGAAGAATCGATCTACGTAACAAAAACATGCAGTTCTATTAAATAAAAGGGTGCATTTGCATTTTTCAAATTGTACAAGTGCATCGCTACACTTATAAAAACAGTGAAGTCGTAAGAAAGTAGATCTTTCTATACCATTCAATTTTGTCCTCGACAATTGTTTTCCATCTCTAACCAAACTCGAGATATAACCCGTCCCAATTGCGTGACTCACCCTGTATAGTTTATAGATTTTTATCGCATTTATTCTTCAGTGGTATTATTTCACACAAGATATAATTTTATAATTGCAGTTATCTGTAATTTATGAAAATCCATGAAAAAACATTCTGTAACTATTATATATGGTATCGTTAATTATTTTTAATGTTTATGAAATTTTTGGTCCTGAGAGAATTGCATTTCAATATTTTCGTATAATGCAATATACATAATGTTGGAATCATATTAATCGTCTGTGTAGTATTTACGAAATTGAACTAATTTCTGTTAACGTTAAGTTACATTTTGTATGATCATAGAGTATTTCTATGCATGTAAACACAGATTTGTATGCATGCAGACACGAAGTATATGTATATAGATTTATAATGCAGAAGAATAAATGATAAATGAAAGAAGAAGGTACAATAGTTAATTTTTTCATTGGGTTGAGTGAGCCACCTTTATGTGTGTACTGTGTTCTGCGTACATCTGTTTGTTACTACTTATTGGAAATGGGTTATGGAATGAAATAGTCTTTTAACTTTGTAATATACGATTTATTTACGGTCTCAGAGGAAACGTCTTTACTCTATTGAATCTTCTGAAGGACTGTTTCTGGGCACCCAAAAGAAAGTTGGGGTCCCCTTATACCTAGAAACTGTTTACATTATGGTATGGCATTGTGCAGTGAGTGACTCGAAGACGGACACCAGATGCATCTGGTGGAAGCCTTAGTGCCTTTGTTTAAAATAACCCGGAGACATTTTTGTCCTCATTTGATTATTTCCATAGGCTGTTGTTAGAAATAATCCAACACTACTATAGATAAATGAATATCGCTGTTATGCATTAGTAATAAATAATTCGTCCTTACCTCCCAAGCGGTTACGCTGTTCATATCTACTTATAGTCGGGGCCACGATATAGCGAGGTCGTAAAATCGGTTAGGCGTCAAAGTAAACATGTTTTAGCTGCCGGGACCCGAAAATTGACAGAGATACGAGCAGATAAGTACTTGAAACCATTGTCAGGACCGTACGAAGAATTCTTGTATCCAGCGAAAGTCAACTGATTCTAATATACTTACTGAAAACTGTATGCAGCTAGGACAAATTAGGGTTTCTCCCTCTGGGGGAAGCCGCTTTTGGAAGTACGGTTACAGGTAAAGGTCTTATTGATGTCTTTAGCATCTTAGTTTATCTACTCGTGTTATATACAGATAGAAAGTGCAAAAAGATTGTGTAGCTTAATATTAACATATTTTCCATTTGTAAATGAAATACCATTTTCTACTTGAAGTACCAAATCATATGCTACCATTCGTTTATTGTTGGAATCCTCAAACAGACTGCAACACACGGCCTTGAGTGCCGCAACATCAATCGATGCCGATTTTTGAGAGTTTAATTTACGACCTCGCTATATCGTGGCCCCAACTATACTTGATATAGCCTGTGTGTTATACTGGCCGTTCATAGCATCGACAGTGATCCGCTACAGTGGTCATTTGTACACAGAGATAGGTCTGCTAAAGGGTATTATAGTAGCCGTTATTAGCGAACGAGTTCAAATTATGTTTCTGCTTCGATATAATGATACATCCGTATTAAGAAAAAAATAAAAAAAAAGCGCAAAGTAAGTTTTACTTTTCACCAGTATTTATATCTTAAACCAAATTGATGAATTAAACATGCTTTATTTTAAAGCAACAAATTCATCAATGTTTCATTATCCCAGAAAAATGTAGTTTTATGTTATAGTATTGTCTTACTATATTATTTGTATACACCGATTCATTTTAACGCTTCGTGCATTAATCAAATGAAAGTAGATACGCAATAAAAACGAAATTCATTAAATTTGGGGTTACAACATTTATAACTGGAACCTCTTTTTTTGTCAAGAAATTTTCTGTCACTAA